GTCGAAAAGTTAACTCCACCACAAAGTAGGCAATCAAACCGTTCCTGTAACTCAACACCCGGACCATGCAACTGAGACAATACTTTCATTGTGAGATTGTTTTCTCCAAAGCCAATCCCATGCAAGAAACTTAATTTTCGACGGGTATAAACAGGTGTTCTGGATGCCTGAATTTTCTGCAATTGTTCCGCATAATCTTCGTCAAAGTCTTCAACACTGCCAATAACATAGCTACCTAACAGGCCATGACCACCATATTTTAGTCTGTCAAAGAACCACTCACTTAGATCCAACGATCTCAAAACATGAGGTACGTTAGCTATTCTATTTCTACCCATAATGTATTGGTATGTTTGGGCAGTCAATTTTAATTTATTTACACCCATCCCGAAATGTTTCAAAAATCCTACTGTCGAAATCACACGATCTTCTAAATCAAAACTCAGAATCTCAGGCTTCGACAGAACCAAAAGTCCAACCTCAGCTTTTCTCACACCCAGTCTACAGAAAAACCCAATCTTTTGAGCCAGAACCTCTTCAGAATAATCAACAAAAATGCTTTTATTTCTTCCCATCAATTCACCAATCTTCCCTTTCTCACAACCCAATTCATAAAAAATTGCAACTTTCCTACAAATCTCAAACCAAGCATCCACATTTCCCTCTACTTCACTAGCAAGATCAAAATCAAGAAACACCCTTTTCAAATCATCAAACAGCATATCAATTTCGTCAAGGAAACCACTAGTCCCACCCAACACGTGCGGGAAAGCTAGGCAAATACCAATAACAGCAACATTACCAAACCCATATTGTTCAAAAAGTGAAAGCCTATATCTCAGTTCACAAGGCTCTTTACTAAAAATAGAAACTTGCCCTTTATACAAAATACCCAATTTGTTCCAAGGGAAACCAAAACAAGCTAGAGCACAAGCAGCATCAAAAACCTTAGAATCTTCACATAAGAAGCATTTATTCGTATGCAACATAGGACTAATTTCTACATGATTTACACCAATGCTTTCAAAGAAAAACTCAAATTCATTAATGGGATGGTACCTTAAGAACCTTTGAATGGAATTGGGAAAACAAGAACGAGAAAAAGGGATTTTAGAAACAAGACCCAAAAGGGAAAATCTCGAGTTTTTACCAATGTATTCAGCAAAAGTGAAGGGTAAGGATCTAGTGTTATGGAAGTAATCAGTGAGTACTTCTTGAGCTTGTAAAATGGCTTGAGGCCTATATTTTGCTGGAATCTTGTATAGTGTTGGAAGCTTTTGGTGTGTGTTTTTGGTGTTTGTGGAGAAAAACTTGAGCTTGAGAATGACATAGAGAGATTGAAGTGTTGGGGTTTTAGAACGGGAGAGCATATCTGAAGTTGGGGTTTTTGGGTTTAGAGAGTGTCGGAAAATGTTAATTCCGGCGAGTGTTGTCGGAGGACATTGGGATCACTTTCCGGTGGGTTTGTCGGCTTTTCTTGCTGAACTGCACAAGGGCATCGCTGTGGGTTTGAGAGTCCTTTTGGAACAGTTGAAAAAGGTGCAATTTCGTCCCTGTACTATAGATTTTGTATATTGGGTCCACCTTGCTTTTCCCTATGCACTATTTGAGTAGTCGAGTAGTTTTTTTGTTTTTTAAAATATAATTTCCTACGAATTTTTTCTTGGTTTTTAATTATAAAATATGATGAATTTGATACTTTTATGTAGATTTTATTTTAAATAATTAAGATAATAATAATATACTCCTTTAGTTTAAAGTGTATATATATTTTGACTTTTATACTTCGAAATATCATCTTTTTTTTGTTGATAAAATATAAAATACTTATTTGTCACGCCTCAACCTCGAAAAGCGCGATCAGCGCTCAACCGAGATAACACGGCCGAGCAAGCTTGTGGGATTGCCTTCTTCCCAACTCACCCATAAATAGAGAGGATAAATTTCATAAATTAATTCCAAGAGGATTCACAAACACACTAATTCCATTACACTTGGTTATTTCATTTTATAGTCTCAAAATACATACACATTCATAGTTGAAGTGAAACAAGTGATTCAAAAATAACAAGGCTAGTTTGACTTTTTCAACACCTATATACAACTCATATTGTGTTTACGGAGCCTCTATGAATACAAAGAATACTATGATAATGCTGGCAACAAGCCCCCGGCTATACCTCAAAACATAATACACGTGGGACAAAAGATACACGACCCCGAATGAAGTGGAGCTAATTTGCTGAGAAGAGGGTGTGCTGCTATCAATGATCAATGCCACATGTTGCGGGACCACCTACATCCATTAAAGATGCAGTGCCCCCCCCCCCCCCCCCACACACACACACAAAAGGGATGCTAGTACATATGGAATAGTACTAGTATGTATAACTAAACACCCTCTCATTAGAACAGATAACAATACAAGGAAGAACAGTCATAGATCAATGGAAGCCTCAGACAATACTAAAACATCAAGTTAGGAACAAGATAAGTGTCAAGTAAATTTTCATTATTTTAGGTTGGGACTGATATACCACCTTGATTTAGCACGGAGTCCGATCACGACCCAATCGGATATGTCGTCTCACCCAGAGACATCAATCACTATCATAGTTTCAATCATCATCTCGACACAATTTTAGGCACAATCACCACCATGTGTGCGGCATGGCGTCCGATCACGATCCGACCGGCTAAGTCGTCTCACCACAATATCGTGTGGATCGACGTCTCTCATTTCTAGCAATCATCTCATTCCAGATGAGGGGGGAAAGTTACAATCCACTCTTACACCGACATGCGTAGTTTCAGGGTTAAGCCATTTCAATCCACCCTTGCTCGGTAACTAACAATACTCCCAAAGTGTTGATTATTAAGAGGATTCACAGCTCATTTCAACAACTTTTACACTCCTTTTTGTTTCATTGGCACTAATGGCAACAAATGTAATATCATTCTTGGCACGTTGACCGTATTTCATATTTCATGCATAATGTTTCACTTTTAAACATCATCACATATCGTCAACATCAAACATTTCATTTCAAGACTTTAAGTACATATTTGAGCAAATAAGGATCTTAGCCACATGTGATTTCTTACACAATTCGACATGATAGCTTTCATTAGAATCATGTTTTAAAGTCATAACATAATAACACACAACCCATACTTAAATCACATTCTCAAATAGTAACACAACATAACCATAATATTTGGAATACATATTGAACACATATATCTTTTGACACAAGGCTTATTCAAAACAATCAATTTATAATGAGCAACTCGAGACTTGCAGGACATTGTGGGGTTCGATTCTAAAAGAGGAGTTTAGCCAACATGCCTCGCCTTGAACTTTCCTTAAGTTACTACAATATTCCAAAAAATTTAGCAACTTCGATCTATTTAGGGATATAGCAAAATTGAACACAAATTAGGAAGGAGTTCATGGTTCCAGCTCATTTGAGCATTATATCAAATACTAGGTGCATTAAGGTTTTAAGGTCCTCTTATGGTGGATTCCTTCATCCTCAACCCAATATCAACCCTTTTTAGCTCAACAACCTTCCTATAATTTTGTTGGTACATGCATGCATAGATAACAACCCCACACCTAAGAATCACAATCCCCATTAACCATCTTCAACTCCAAACTCAAAATTGAAGATTAAGGTATGGAACCTTACCTCTTGGATTAACACCTTGTGACTTTTTCTTGTGAATTCTTCAAGACTCGAGCAAGAATTGGTAAACAATTAGTTTAGGACCCCCCTTCACTCTAGAGCACCTCCCCTTTCTCGAAATATCAGGTTTTTACCTTACAAATGGTCTTCAACAACTACATGTCGAAATAGGGTCGGGTTACAGAATTAGAAAAAATGGAGCCCCGATGAGATTATGCCACCGCATAACACTTCTGCGGTCCGCAAAATGGACCGCATAATGGTCCTCCAGAACAGGGCGTTTCTGCTTCACTATGTGATAGGTATGCGATCCGCAAATAAATTCTACGGTCGCAGAAAGGACCGCAAAACCTCCTTCTAAAATTTCTCATGCTGGCTTCTGCGATGAATATGCGGCCCGCAAAATAATTATGTGGCCGCATAATGCGCCGCATAATGGTCCTAAAATTAGCTCAACTTTCTACTTCATTCCGCGGCAGATCTGCGATCGCATAATGGACCGCAGAATAGCCAAAAAATTTCTTCAACTTCTCAACGCATTATTCAACCCAAAATTTTCGTACCGCGGTAAGTCTACCTCGGCACCACAAAACTCCGGGTTTTAGGTAAAATTGAACGAGGCCTTACATTATTGAATCCTTTGATATTAAGTACTACAATATTTAGTGATTGAATTGATGATTGCACGATCGTGGTTGTATACCCGAATGAAAAGAGTAATGATGAATGATCATATCAACAAATATTATGAGTGGATAACATTTGAATACTAAGATCCCATTTGTCCATAAAATGTGGGACTTTTTTTTTGTTTCAAATACTATTTGTTTATAGATTTAAACTATTTTTGACAAATTTGAAAATAAAATTTCAAATCCCAAAACAACTGTAAAATAGTTTTTGAAATTTTGAAGTTTTCTACTCACAAAATTTCAAACTCTTTTCAAGTAAAATGTATGTCCAAATATAATTTTAACTTTCAAAAACTATTTTTCATCTCATCTTCAAAAACTTATTTTTTAAAATTTCAACTAGATATATGTCCAAACGCTAGCTAAGCTCTCATGAGTACGGACGAAAAATGCAAGGTGCATTAATTGGAAAATACTACTAGTAACTTTCTTTTGTCATAAGTATTTATTCTTTAAAATAAATTTTTATATCTTTCATGTAAATTACTTGTTCCAAAATCCAACTTTGAGTAATTGTGATGCAAAGGAGCAATAGGGCATCTATCAAGGTCACAAAAGTAATATTAGCAAACTCAAAACCCTTGATTAAAAAAGTAACTCTGTCGTACGTTTATCTTTCATTCCCCTCCCTCTTTCTTTACTCTTCCCCTTGATGTCCTATTATCCCCCAAATTCAATGGCTCATTCTCACCAAATCGAACCCTCCCTAAACCCTAACCTAAGCTCTAACCCTCCTCCTCCGGGAGCTCCACCTCCTGCTGCCGCCGTCCTTTCTCAACCGTCCAATGAAGATCCCAATAGGTCTGCCACCGCTAAACGTCCGCGGGATGAATACACCACCGCGACGGACGAGGCAGGGTCGTCGGCTGACGCTGACCCGCCGCTGAAGAAGCGGGTTAAGGTTGCCCAAGATGTAGTGTACCGTATAGTTGTACCGTCAAGACAGATCGGAAAAGTTATCGGTAAAGTAGGGCATCGTATACAGAAGATTCGTGAAGAAACTAAAGCTACTGTTAAAATTGCTGATGCCATCGCTGTGAGTTAATGCAATTTTTTTTTATCGTTATTGATTTTGTTATATTGTTTGTGAAGTTCTGAAAGTCGAAACTAATTCTCTAGGGTAAAGTAGGGCAATATTTGGCAATTGTATTTGTAGAAAATTTTCGAACTTTTAGAACCTAATTGAGAGAATTTGAATGAACGTTGTTGAATTGAATGAATTTTGATCTTTTTTTTAATGCTGGCTGAATTCCAGGAAGCTTGAAAATGACATATAGGTGTAAAGTAGAAATTCTTTCTCTTGGAAATTTTTGCTCAGGAATATTAGGACTGCTAGAATTTAATTGAGAAAAACTGAAAGCAACTTTCAACCAACCAAGAGGTTGCGAATTCGAGTCTCCCCAAGAGCAAGGTGGGAAGTTCGGGAAGGATGCCGGGTTTCTATTTAGAAACAACCTCTCTATCACACGGTAGGGGTAAGGTCTGCGTAGACACTAGCCTCCCCAGACCCCACTAAGTGGGATTATACTGGGTTGTTGTTGTTGTTGTTGAAAGTGACTTTGTTGAATTGAGAAATTGGATTTGCTGGCTTCTTGATTGACCTCATTTGTTTTTGTTGGTCGTTTTCCGTGGTTTTAATATAAAATGATGGTGGTATCATGACCAGTACAAGTATCAGGTAATTCTGCTCTGCCTACCAAGGCTTGGACAGATGGGAATAAATCACGTAGTGTTTTTTGCATCTGTTGGGGTTTGAACCTGAAACCCATGGTTCTCCTCCCGCTTCATTGACCACTAGGTCACACCCTTGCTGGTCATTTTCGTAGTTACGAATGTTTAGTTGAGTTGGTTCTCTTTTTCACTCAATGTCATATTGATTTTGAGACCAAGCATAGTGAACTTACTTCTGGATTTGATATTTGCAGCGCCATGAAGAGCGAGTAATCATCATTAGCTCGAAAGACAATGACGATATGTTTAGTGACGCGGAGAATGCCCTTCATCAAATTGTGTCACTTATTTTAAAGGTAACATTTCTTCTGAGTGAAAACATAGCAAGTCATTTACTTTGAACGTTTTCTTGTTTATATTAGCAAGAAATGTCTTATACAGTATTTTCTCGTCAGTTTTCCTACATTCCATCATATGACCCTTTTTTGAGAATGCACATTTCATCATATGACCTTTTGTCTGTCAATTACACAAAAATGTTTTATATCATCTAATCCTTGTTATAAATGGTGTGTCTTTGCAACAATTCAATGAATTTCTTCCTGCATCCAAAAAAACGGAAGCCTTTTGTCTGTTTTTGGAGGCATAATGGCAGATTTTGGGTTCTCATTCCTCAGTTATTTCCAGTTTTACCTTAATTGCTGCAATAATCTCAGATGTACAACTTGATTTCAAAAAAAAAAAAAGAATCGGGTCAGCAGCAATTTCTGGACTCTTTCTCANTCTCTGGCAACCAATGATTTTGAGAGATTGTGATTATGTACTGTATGATATACTCCTGGATCTTACAGTTATACTAGTTGTCTTGGGTTTTCCATTCCCTTTTATTAAAATAAAATTGAATCATCATCTTCTTGAACAATGGTGTCACAGTTCCTATGGGTGATTCTGCTTGCTTTTTAAGGTTAACCCATGAGAGATTTGCCAGAGTGGAACTGATCCTTGCACTATTGTTCTCTCCATGATAGGATGATGATGGCAACATTGATGCACAGAAAGTTGGTGCTGGCCATGTGGCAGCAAACACAATAAGGTTCTTGATTGCTGGTTCTCAGGCAGGTGGTTTGATAGGAGTGTCTGGTCAAAATATTGAAACTTTGAGGAATTCTTCTGGAGCTGCTATCACAGTTCTTGCTCAACATCAGTTGCCATTGTGTGCATCTGCTCATGAGTCTGATCGTGTAGTACAGGTGGGAAGTTGGTATTATTGGCCAGCAGCGAGGCAAATGAAGATCTTCATTTCTTAAAATCTTTGCATGTCTATGTTTCGCACATCGAGTATACTGATCTTTTCGACAGACTACTGTCTGATCGATTTCGTATTAAACTATACTTCTCTGATGTGGATATTTTAGTATTTAGCAGTCAAATGTTAAACAATATGCATGGAAGATTGGGTCTCTTTCGCAGAAAACAATATAATCATGTAGATGGTCTATTCATTAATGTTCTACTTGTATAAGAGTATTTTCCCATCATCAATAAAGTTTTTTTACCTTGTAAAAGAAGAGTTACCCTTCGTGTAGCATTATTTGCACGTGCAGCTATTCGAGTTATCACATATTTTCAGGGTTCTGTGCTCTTCTCCCTTGTTCTGAACAGATCTATAGGGCATATAACTTTAATTACTGCTCATTTGTTTGTTAGCTTGAATTTGTCTCTTGAATATGTTGGTTTCTGATATTTGCTGCTACTATGTAGCTCGCTTTTGATTGCTACCATGTAGCTTTTGCTTCTTCTTGTAATATTTTGCATCTTCGTGATGCCATTAATGAAGCCAATTACTTCATCAAAAAAAATTTGTGTCTGGGATATCATCTGCTTATGAGTCTGTTGTTAGTTTGGCTTTGTCAGGCATTTGAGATATCAACTGTCTGTGTAGGGAGATCTGCATTTTATCTTGGACCTATCTCCTTTACTTGTTTCTACTTTTAAGAGATTTAGCATTTTAAACTTGTTTGTTTCCCTTTTGCCTCCTACATTCAGGTATCAGGAGACATTCCTGCGGTCTTGAGAGCTGTGGTAGAAATCGGCTGTCAATTGAGGTTTAGAATTTTTTTTTTTTGATAAAGGAGGTTTAGTAATTTTAATTGGCTTAATTAGGTCTTATTGACGATTCTAAAGCTATTTAATCCCTTAATGTATATTGTTACAGGGATAATCCCCCTAAACAAGTAATTTCAATCAGCCCAACATACAATCATGGCTATTCTCGCCCATCTCAACCATATGTGGATCCATCTTCAGGTTAATCAATCTCTCTCGTTGTATCTTTTGAGCTTTTGGATTGATGCACTTTCTGCTGTATGAAATTCAATATATTTATCACCTTGATAAAAAAACTACTAATATTTTTATATCAATATATTTATCACCTTGACTAAAAAAATTAATATATTTATCATAACGATGTCATCCTTGGCGACTACTCTTGCAGCTGATTATGTAAATCTGACGATGTTAATTCCCGAATCATTAGCTGGTGGGTTGATTGGAAGGTGTGGCTCCAATATTTCAAGGATCCGAGCAGAGTCTGGAGCATCAATTAAGGTGCATAAATAGCCTTGTAAGATCTATTAGATTCAACTCTGATGGTTTTATGGCCCGTCCTAATCTTTCAGGTATATAGAGTTTTATGAACTATTTGCTTTTATGTTTTAATATTTTTGGTTTTGTATGTTAGGTACATGGTGGGAAAGGCGAACAGAAACAAAGACAAGTCCATCTAGGTGGTAATGCACAACAGGTGAAGCTTAATTTTTATTTCTCGCTTCTTTTAGTTTGTTTATGCTGACTTCTTGTAATCTTAGTTTAGTTATCTTTTTGTGATACGCGGTTGTGTACATTCCTAGATTCGCTAACATTCACTTCTAAAATGAACCTGTCTTGGAGGATTTGATCTTATAGAATAACTGTAAAAGTTTTCCGTTGGCGTCTTGTAATTTTCACTAGTTTACCTGTGAAATAGGGGAATGATGGGATATCAAGGATTTCTGGTCCTGTAGCATATGCTTGAATTTAATTTTCTTTTCGACAGGTCACCCTTGCCAAGCAACGAGTTGATGAATATGTCTATTCCCAGTTGATGTTACAAGCTGGTGGTGAGCAGCTGCAGGAGACAATGCAGCTACAGCAGACAATGCAGCTGCAGCAGTCAGTGCACCTGCAACAGTCAATGCAACTGCAGCAGTCAGTGCAGTTGCAACAACAAATGTAATTTTATGTACCGTATAACTTGTAATTGGTTTAGACTTTTAAATGAATAATTGGGACTTCTGTGTGGTGTCTTAACTATTATGTTGCTTGATGCAGACCAGACCCATCTGCTACTCTGATGCAAGGATATAGTCACGGTCATGGACTTTATATGAGCAGGTAGTTGCATTCCAATTGTTGTTCTAAAACCTGATTGTTATCCCATTATCACTGCACTTCTAATTGTCCTTCAGAATACTAATTATCATTTCCTTGCCCCAACAATCTTAGCTCCATTATTACTATCACAGAGTTGCTATTATTTTCGATCTGTCATAGTAAAATAAGCAAAATTTTTGCTATGCTAACGTTGTAGTTTGACACTTAACCCTAAGGTGATTATGGTATATCTTTCTCATGCTCAATTGGACTTAATTATTAGCTTTGTCAGAGTTTATTTTTAGATCAATGACTTAGTTGACATGCCTTTTTGAAGGTAGGGGTAAGGTCTACGTACATACTACCCTCCCAAAACCTCACTTGTGGGATTACACTGGGTCTGTTGTTGTTGGTATTGTTGACTTAGTTGACATGATAGGATGTCTATGCACCGGTGATAAGCTATTTATTTTGGTTGCCATGGAATGACAATAGTCTATTCTATATTTGCAGTAACCAAGAAGCTCAAATGATGTCATCATACCCACAAGTATACACATCGAGCACCCCTCAAGCTCCTGCTTACTATGGTCAGTCTTATCCAGCTCCACAAATGTAGAGGTTAAAGGGGGTCTCTTTTTGGTACATCGGCTTTTGAATCAGATGATTTATATACAAAGTGGTGACAATTTCTTGTTGTGTCATTAATTTGAGTTATCATGTAATGTCGCATTGGAGATGGTTGCGATTTGGCCAGGATGTCTCTTGTTGATCAGTTGCGACATAGTTTGCATGAGATCACTTAATTCTGGGATATTGATGGAAAAGTTAATGCTTAAAGTTTTATGATCAATGGAATCTAGCATGCGCCTCTGGGAGCAGCAGATCTAGTGAAGGGAGCTTATAGTAGCAGTTGCAGTGAAGGTACAGCACAGCCCCTTGGCTTTCTGTCCCTTTGTTCCCCTCTGCTTCAACCCTGCCCCGACCCTGAAAAGCTCCCAAACCCCGCCCTGGTTTACCTTTGCTGCTTGATTTTCATTTACCTCTGTTGTTTCCATCAGAACAGAAACAAGGATGTGACATATGCATTGCACGTCAGTCGCGGTCACCTCTCGTTGAACTGATTTCTAAGGAAGAACTTAAAAACATTTTGTGCGAATGATTTTGAAATGAGATGATCGGGAATGGTGGCTGAGGGAGGGCTGACGGAGAAGCAGAGCTTGGGAGAAGTGGCTGTAGCAGCAAAAAGATTGGACCCTAGTTCATTGGTTCAATTACTTTTCTTTTGGCGCCAAGACCACCATATCATATCCCAACCACCCCACTTACTCCCTACCCCGTGCCATAGAGCTTTCCCTGCCCCCATCCGGCCCAGCCCCGTTATGCATATCATTCCCGTAAACCTGCCCAGTTTTGCCCCCTTGTATGTCCCCCGTTAGAAACTAGGGTGCTAATGTTTTCAATTGGTAATATATTTAATTCAAGTTTCTTGAAATATTGCTCGTCTTAAGTAAGATGTTATTAATTAAAAAAAAACTTTTATTCCAACTGAGGCAGTTAACATTATTCTATAATCAATGTCGGCATTTGAAAATAATGAAGTCTTTTTATCGTATTAAGTATTTAAATACTCGTAATGTAAGTAAGTTGAAGCTTGTCTAATGAAGAAGAAACTTTAAAAAAATTCAAAGTTGGAAAAAATTTATTCAATTAAGTTTAAATGAATTAGAGGGAAGAAACAGGAAATAACTGTAATTTTAATTATGTCCTACTTATCTACTTTCATTTGTAATTATTTCAGCCAAATTCGTGAAAACAGTATAAAGTAAGGTCTACGGAGACCTTGAAGAAGAAACTTTACAAAGCCAAAGTTATAAAGAAAATTGATTCAATTAAGTTTGAGAAATTTTTATAAAGCACTATCTTTTAGTGGTAATTAGCTATCTATAGATACAATTTGCTATATTACGGATTATAGATATGTTTTCTGTTGTTATAAGATGTATTAGATGTATTTAAGCTACTGTATTCATGAATACAATAGCAAAAATAGGCGTGAATCAGAGAAGTACAACTAATCAGTTGTTGTATTCGAGTGTATTCAACTGTATTCATGGCGTGAAACATGGGACTACAGTTGGACAGATTATTGTATTCGACTGTATTCACGGCGTGAAACAGAGGATTACATTGTTTTTAAATGGAAAGTGAATCAATTAACATAATAAACTCCTAATATAACTCAACAAACTCAATTATAACACATAAATTTTGTATTTCTAGTTATAAAAAAGATTCTCAACCGAAAAACACCCCAAAATAGAGCAATCTTCAGATAAATTATATAATACATCTGAATACATAAATTATATTAATTAAAAAAATATATGAATAGATTCATGGAATACAACGAGACATTGAATACAATGAAATATATGGAATACAACGAGATACATTGAAATACAATGAAAAAAAAGACAATGAATACAATGAAATACATTGAAATACTGCGAGATACATTGAAATATATTAACAGAAAATTCAAATTGCTCAGCCCGAAACTCCGTCGTCTTTGTTAGAAAATAAATCCTAATTTTCGGCGAATTCGTCGTAGAGCAATGGTGGCAGAATAAGGACTCTGTTAAAACTTGAATCTTGTATTGAAGCTGTAGGGGTGTGAAAGAATCCATTACTGAAACAAATTGGTTGTATTCTTAACAAACATAAATATAGTGATAAATGACCGTCGAGCTTGAATCTGTTAAACTTTATATAGATGTGTTTGCAGTTGCAGCAGCTCCTACGCAACCGATGACCCTAGTGCTATCTGTCCAAATAGTCGAAACCATATGTCAACATATTTGACGTGGTAGCATATATGCATGCTCCGATGGAATTAAGGAAATTGGGATTGGAGAGAACGCAGGTGATGTGGGTGAGAGGAATTTTGAGATTGGGCCTTGTATTTTCAGGGAATAGGGGAAGAGAATGACATGTATCAAAGTAGAGAGAGAAAGAAAATAGTGTAACCGAATAACGTATTTAGTGGCTTAGGGTTTGGAGGTAACCAAAATTAGATATTTTGCTATAAACATTAAAAGGTATCTATAGAATATAATTTTTTTAAATGGTATTTATTTAAAATAAATAAGGTGTTAACCTTTGCTATAGGAGGTAAAAATTCCATTAAGTTTTAGTGAATAAGAGCAGAGAAGCAACAAGTGACTTCCAGTTTTAATTATCTACCATTTTTATCCATAATTACCTCAACCAAGTCACTAAAAACAGTATAAAGAAAGAATTACGTGAATGTTGATTTATAAGGAGCTAACAAGAATTGGTTAAAATATTAGAGAGTAATAATCTTTTGAATTATATCGAATAGAATACTTTAAGATTTGGGGCCTAATGCAAGAGTCTTATTGTCCTATGGGTGAACAATTTGGTGGAAGAGATTTACAGGCTGAGGAGCTATGAAATTGACAATCTTTGCAGCTGCAAGAACCAAAACCAAAACCAAACTTGGTAATCCAAGAAATCTAAAAGTAACATTGCACGATAGAATCGGTTAATCAATTACCGTATTTTACGACTCTTTGATTACAGCTACAGATCAGTTTGTTCCCTGATCCAATTTTAGGATAAGTAGATAAACAATTCAAGTACAATCCAGTATCTGAACTGAAGCATTGCAAAAGTAGCGTTTGAAAAAAATATTTGGAAGTTCAACTTTAGTTTCACGTGGAATAAAATCAAAATTTTATTAGAGAAAAATAATATTTCACTTCAAATTTATCAATATTTCAAGTAACGAGGTTCAGTATTTATGTAGATGCTGATGACTAAATCAATACTCCTTGCAAATAATGAACTTCAGTATTTTTAAGTACAGAAATAAAAAGGTATTTACTTGGGATCTATACACAAATAGCCGGCTCCATTCATTATTTACTTTTTTATAATTGTATATATAAATTATACATATATAATATACAAATTATGCATATATTATTTATGGGTTTAACTGGTTGAGTAGGCGACTATTTGGATTAATACTTCTATTTATTTATGGTCAAATGGAGATGGTTTGAAAGTTTGAGCACCAACTGATTACTGAAATGGTGGATTTGGTTCTTTTATATATATATATATATATGGTTCAGGCTACCCGAAGCATATTCAGACGAATTATTGCTATTGTTTTAGTATGCCCTAATAACCAAATTCGAATCTACTCATTTCTTTGTTAAGAAAAAATGTCTGGTCACTTCTGTTTAAAGAAATTGTATAGTTGTGTAGTTGGCACTCACTGCAAATAACATGGATATTACTCAATGAATAGTTGCATGTTCCTTTTTTCTCAATTTGGTGTCTATTAGCCGTATTAAAACCCGATTAAGAGCCCGTTTGGTCATATTTTTTTTTCTTTTTTTCTGAAATTAGAATGGCCATGAAATTTTTAATTTTTATTTAAAGATGAATTTTATAATTTTTTGAAAATTTTAAAAACTTTAAAAAGCCGTTTTTCAAAATTCACTTAGATCAGTCACAAAAATTCAAAAACAACCCAAAGTTATATTCATGTCCAAACACAATTCTAATTTTCTACTTGATTTTTTTTTATTTACTGTTTTTGGAATTTTATAATATTTATGTCCAAATACCAACTAAATTTGAGTTCGTTCCAAAAAGTCCTATATTAAGAAGTAAAATTCTATGATGAAGATGACTTCACAATAAAAACTTGAACTTGAGACTTCTAATTAAGAATGTATGAGTATTTATCACTTGCGTACCACACCACGCTGGTTAGTAGTTGCATAGTTCCGCAAACAGCCCCACGTGTAATTCCAGAATTTGGGATTTGATCTTCTTCTTCTTTTCTTTTTTTCTTCTTCACTTAACTAATTATTGATTTAATCTGACACAAAATGCTGATGATTGCACGTGCACATACTCTAATATCCCCTAAATTGACGCCATTACATGTCTGTAATTTGTTTGTACGAAAACTATTACTACTATATTTTACATTATTTTTATGATGAATATTAAAAATTAAAGTGTGTATTTTGATTTTTTTTTTTTTAAACAAAGCAATATATTGTTTGACCATGCACACGTGCGACAACTAACCAACTCCACGTGTGATGTCGGCCGACCAACTTAGCTAGATCCAAATGTGTGCCAACACATTCCTAACAATACGTTTAAAGGAAATCAAGAAATGTGGATGACTACTTTGCTCTGATATTTTCCGATTTACAACGAATTTATAAGGAGGAACCTTGTTACTGGACTTCCCTAAAGCTTTTGGGTTGGTGGTTGCTAACTCTTGCTTTCCGAAGAGGAAGGAGTATTTGATTACTTTTTAAAATGCGGTGGCGAAGATTCATATTGGCTATCTCCTTCTTAGGAGGCGTGACAGAGGGTTGTGCAAGGATTGCAAGGTGATTCCAGGTGAGATACTCGTGACGCGACATAGACTCTTGGTGATGGACGTTGGTATTATGGTGAAGAGGAGGAAGATGTCTGCTCGAGGAAGACCGAGAATCAGGTGGGGAGCCTTAATTAAAGACAAATCTCAAGAGTTAGAAGGGCGGTTGTCGGTTATGGGAGCTTGGAGGAGCAGTGGTGACGAGAACACTATGTGGTCAACGATAGTAAACTGTATAAGAGAGGCTGCGAGAGAGGTGTTAGGGGTCTCGACGGGCGTTCCCGACAGGCACAAAGGAGACTGATGGTGGAATGAAGTGGTACAAGGTAAAGTGGAAGTGAAAAAGGAGGCGTACCAGACGTTAGTGGGGAGCATAGGTGAGGGGGAGAGGCGAGCGTGCATGGAGAGGTATAAGGTAGCTAGGAAGGAAGCGAAGCTGGCTGTCACGGAGGTTAAGACTGCGGCTTATAGTCGTATGTACGAGGAACTAGGGGAGAAAGGAGGGGAGAAGAAGTTATTTAGGCTGGCCAAGTTGAGAGTGAGGAAAACACGAGATTTAGACCGAGTGAGATGCATCAAGGACGACAATGGCAGAGTATTGATGGAAGATTCCCAGATTAAGAGGAGATGACAGACTTACTTTCAAAAACTTCTTAATGAAGCAGGGGATCGGGATATTGTGCTTAGTGAATTGGAGCATTCTGAGAGTCACAGTGACTCTGGGTACTA